TATGTATGATTCCAATCGCTTTTTATAGTCAAAATCTATATTTTGCCGAGCTCCGCTACAACTACATGGGAGCGATGAGGAGTGACCCCACAGAAACTGTCTGGAAAGCGGGCCCTAAGCGCATGCCTGTTACCATCTCACTGGATGTCACCAATGTAATGTTTGTAGATCCCTTTATTACATTTATCCTCGCCATCCATAGTCTCTCAAATAACTTATTTCACGTTATATTTAGGGCCCGCTGGTCTCATCATACAACGGCAATGACAAAAGCACCTGGGGGCCTCATTATAAAGGATTATACGCTCAAAAAATGGCGTACGCCAGTTTCTACGCAATGTTTGCGATTTATAAAATACTAACTTGACGGGAAAACATGTGCTGTACTCCACGCAAACTTCTACCCCATGCGTACGCACTAAGCACACAAACGGGAGAGACGAGAAACTGCCACCCCGTTGGCAGAAGGAAGAATGGAGAGAAATATGTGAAATAATCCATAAATAAAATGTTACCCTCATTTATCAAATATGAATAATTCATTTTCAAACATTGATTAAAGCCAATCTTAAATGATTTAAACAAACGCCTGGTTTGAGACTCCTCAGGCACACAAAAACATAACTTGGAGAAATAAATAAATACGGATATGCTATTTAAAACCACCACCTCGAATATGTTGTGTTAATGTTTTGAAATGTTTTCTCATAAATGATGCGGTAAGCAGGAGGACAGAATTACGTCTAAACTGACGCCGTTTTGCATTTCTATAGGTTGTAGATACGAGCATGGTTTTATATACTATCACGTTTAATCGTGTGTTATGCCGTTTGCCAAGACTTGATAAGTCGCTCGTAAAACACAGGAGGTATGGAAACTAAGAACACCATAGCCTATGTGGTAAATTGTACAGGTAATATAACACAACACATTAGTTGTATTTCCTTTAACTGGTGGATTATGGATATATAGTTGCTGATCGACAGCTGGAACTCAAACCACCAAATACGACAAAATAATTCAGATCCAGTCGTCATGACTCCACTCCGGAGGGATTCCCCGATCATTTCTTACAGTTTTCTCATCAAGGGGGTGTCTCCTGTCCCCGGTACAACACACTGCCCGAGGAAGGTTATGTGTATTTGTTTTGGTTAGCTCTTTCCAATTGCCCCAGTTAAGACTGCTTTTGCTGCAGTTTCTGTGAACAAAGTGCACAAAACTAATTAACACGTCTACACTCTGCTACACACAGAGACCGGTATATGTGATCATAAAGAAATGTACATAAAAATACTACTTCATTTTCAGGTTATTCTCATGCAACTATTTTAATTGTCTATTTTAGTTAAACAGTTTACAGTTTGAAGAATAATATGCACATTGAATATATTCAAACAAATGTAAGTAGCTTAAAGGTTACATTATATTATTATAATTTTTGTAACTTGGTATCAGTGTCTAGTTTATGAAAACAGGAACGTTTTTATTGTAGGAACCATCTGCTCTTGATAATAAAAGCAGGAACCAATGTTTGTTTTGGTCTCGCTCGTCTCGCTGGAATGGGTAAGCAAATATTATAAGAGGTTTATAAAAAAGACATGCCACTCATACTATAGTATAATTTTTCTCTCCCGAGAAATGATGTTACGAATCCACGGTCGATAGATTAGAGATTGGAGAGGCTTTCTCACAGTATTTGCATTTCCCTCCAATTTACATAAACAGAGATAACAATGTTGACCGTGGCACAGAGGCAGTTGTATTGGCATCTGGCCAGAGTTTCAACCGTTTTACTCAAGCTGGATTTTATCTTCAGAAAATACGTTATTTTAGTGAGTCATTTTACTGCAGAAAGTGGAGACACCTCACCCAGCAATAACAAAAACTACATTATTGAACTCTGCATGAATGCAAAAGCTGTCCCTTCAACCTCACAAATTCACTATTATTATTATTGTTTGTTATTATTCAGAGAGATTCTGAAACAAAACTAAAGGGGTTCAGTTGGTCCTGTATTTCAGTCTGTGTTCACTGATCTCAAAGCAGAAAGTATTTCCTGATTCAGTTCAAATAAAATATAATGTTGATATCTGGCGCCACCTAGTGACAGACATATGTTACTGTTCCTGGTGTCAGTCCTCTGTGTACTCAGTAATGTGGTAAAGACAGACTGTGTGTTTTCTGATGTGTGACATTGGTGTGTGTGTGTGTGTGTGTGTGTGTGTGTGTGTGTGTGTGTGTGTGTGTGTGTGTGTGTGTGTGTGTGTGTCCTCTCACAGGGAGAAGATGATCTTCCTCATCCTGCTGCTCCTCTTCCTCACCCCCTGTGTCTCTGGTTAGTTTACTCCTTTATTTCCCACTCAGACACATTGAATATTGTTGAAAATCTTTTGAGTCACGTTTTACCTTTTCACAAAGAAGCATCTTAGAGCTCTTTGGTATGGAACACTATTAGTGCAAGGCAAGAGGGTCAAAACTGAGGAGGGGGATTCTGATTTGATTTAGCTTTTTTAAAATGTCAAGAAGTGGAGCTTTCAATATATTCTCTAACAAAAGTAGTTTGTTATTAAAAGTTCAATGTTTATTCTTAATAATTAAACTTTAAAAGCGCCTAACTGTTTTTTCTGATACATTTTTCCTAATGCCTCAAATTGAAAGATTGATATTTGACTCGACATCTTGGCTTTTTTCTTAACATGTTAAATAAAAAAGTAAAATAGTCCTTTTCTTCTTTATTTCCCTCATACCCTAATACTCTTCCTCACCTGAGGAGACCTCTGTCTCTGGTTAGCTTCAGTTATACCCCTTTCACACCAACGGTGTTTCAGGGCCGGTTCGGTGCTGGTGCTTGAAAAGCACCGGGTTTTCCTGTTCACACCGCAGCGGAGCAGCGTCATAGCTCCGGAATCCGGTTCGTTTCGAGCACCAAAAAGTTGTCCGTCTAGAAGCAAGAACCGCATACGTCACGCTTACATCGGAGGAGGGCGAGATTAACCTGAGCTAACACTTAAGGCGAGTACGGCAAATAAAAGTTGTAACAAGCAGTAGTGCTGAGCAAAGTGACTAGAACGCAACCACACACTTGTTAAAAAAAACACACTTTATAAAGTCAGGCAACACTAACGTGTGATTCTGTTTATTTGTACCTTACTTTGACCATCCGTTCGCTGTTATTGATCATTGTGGAGAGCAGGCAGACGTTTTGTTTGTTATTATAGCAGCTATCGGATGGAATCAATACATGGGCTGCACAGGTTGTCATGTCCGACTATCACAAGTAGAATCATAATGAAAAATACGTCGGTAAAAAGTGCCTGTAGAAAACTGCTTAGCAAGTAGTCAGTTTAGCTTCGGTTGCTATGCTAACATCACCCATGTTATACCAGAGAAACTTTCATAACAGCGTTGTGATGCCAAACAGCGTCAATTCAGACTGACACACATTCACTTAAGGGGAACTGGGGATATGTATCAGCTGCTTGTGTGACAGTCAGACAGTGAATACTTTAGAGCCGTGTGAGCTAACCCGGAGCTAACGGGAGAATACACTCCCGTGGAAGAGCAGCCACTGCAGCGGTCTGTAAATGCCGCTGAAACACATTAATAAACAATGAACCACGGCACTCTGGAGAAAAGTATAAGGTTGGAGAAGTCGTTATTTAATTTAATCTGGCTTCGTATGATTAAAAGCAACGCAGTCCCCGGCCCGTTGTTGTTGTGAGGTGAGCTCCGGCGTTGGGGAGAAACTCAGCGACGTAAACTGTGACGTCATGACGCAGCAGCGGCATCACCAGTCGGGCTCTGAGCGGTGTGAAAAGAGCCGGCGCTAAACCGAAGAACCGGTTCTGAACCAAAAAAGCTCTAGCACGGAGCTAGAACCGGAGTTGCGTTGGTGTGAAAGGGGCATTAGTCTCTTTAAAGCTGTTCTCAGTAAAGCAGCACAGAAACATAGCTGCAGTTTAAAGAGTCCCTCTGTGTCTCCTCCACAGGAACATAGCTGCAGTTTAAAGAGTCCCTCTGTGTCTCCTCCACAGAAACATAGCTGCAGTTTTAAAGAGTCCCTCTGTGTCTCCTCCACAGGAACATAGCTGCAGTTTAAAGAGTCCCTCTGTTGGCTCCTCCACAGAATATAGCTGCAGTTTTAAAGAGTCCCTCTGTGTCTCCTCCACAGGAACATAGCTGCAGTTTAAAGAGTCCCTCTGATGTCTCCTCCACAGAAAACTAGCTGACAGTTTAAAGAGTCCCTCTGTGTCTCCTCCACAGGACATAGCTACAGTTTAAATAGTCCCTCTGTGTCTCCTCCACAGTAACATAGCTACAGTTTAAAGAGTCTCTCTGTGTCTCCTCCACAGGAACATAGCTGCAGTTTAAAGAGTACCTCTGTGTCTCCTCCACAGAAACATAGCTCTAGTTTTAAAGAGTCCCTCGTGTGTCTCCTCCACAGGAACATAGCTGCAGTTTAAAGAGTCCCTCTGTGTCTCCTCCACGGGAACATTTGTAGTGAATGTGACTCAGACTTCCTATCAGGCAGAGGAGAACCAGAACATCACCCTGGAGTGGACCTTCAGCACCAGAAGAGAAACTTCCCTCAGATCCATTTCTACCATCTGTCAGCTGTTAACTGAGACCAGAACCTACTTCATGTTTCATCTCCATCAAGGTGTTGAATCCCCAGAGTCTCAGGATCCAGAGTTTGCAGGACGAGTCCAGTGGGACAAAGACGTCCTCACAGAAGGACGCCTCACACTTCATGTCTCCAGACTCAGGACCAATGACTCTGGGTTTCATGTGTGTGACATACTCGTCAGACCTGATGGGAGTAACTCTAGGAGATGCTGGCTCAACGTCACTGGTGAGTAACCCCCATTCATATTTGTTATAATGTTAAACTCTCAGGGTGTACGAGAACCTGGGAAATGTTGTCGATGTTTAGTTTTCTTTATCAGGGAAATGTCTTTGACACAGAGTTGTTTGGTGTTTTTACAGCAGCGACACATTGGAACAAACCTGAGACTCCCAACAGAGGGAGACGGAGAAGGATTGGCCTCTACTCAGCGTTAGCACTGGTTTCTGTTCTACTTGCTCTATGTGTCTGTGTGCTTCTTAACTTCAGACGACAAGCAGCCAGTGAACAGGGTTCAGACTCAGCGAGTGGACCAACTGAAGCTCTTTGACACTATGTGTTACATTAATGCAAATCTATGAATATTGCACACTCCTGCACAATACTGACTCTTTGAAATCGGCAACGCTCTGACATTTTACTTCGGGTATACTGTACATCTTATCTTTCTTTCGTTAAGAGATCAACTAAAATGACCAAATGTGATTTCTGAGAGAGGCATTGAATCCCCAGAGTCTCAGGATCCAGAGTTTGCAGGACGAGTCCAGTGGGACAAAGACGTCCTCACAGAAGGACGCCTCACACTTCATGTCTCCAGACTCAGGACCAATGACTCTGGGTTTTATGTGTGTGACATACTCGTCAGACCTGATGGGAGAACTCTAGGAGATTGCTGGCTCAACGTCACTGGTGAGTAACCTCAGTAGAAGTCTAGAGGCTCCAGAGAGCTAAATACTAATGCATCTACGTCAAGTATGTTGCCGCTAATATTGGATCATATTCATATCATATTATTGGAACAGTTAACATTTGGAAAAGGAAATAGCAGATACTCAACAAAGTATGAATGAAAGACCAAAAGAGTCCTGCTGCTCAAATCTTAAGAACGGCTTGTTTTAACTGTTTAAAATGTGCACAACTCATTTTAAAATAAAACTCTTCTCACAAACCAACTGTGATCCAAACCAACCCCACACAGAACTCATTTTAGTGGAAAAGGGGAAACTGAGAAGCTGGAAATACAGGAGGTTTTTCAGAAGAATGAAGGTTGCAGATTGTCATGTGTTCACTCTAGATTAAACCTGTTATATATTAACACTAAAATGGTTCCTCATGTTATATTCTGTCCTTTTCCACAGCTGCTGAAGAGCTCCAACCTCAGAGACCAGAGAGTTGGACAGGTGTTTGGGTTACCGTTGGAGTGTCAGCAGCTGTTCTGGTTTTCTTTGTTGTCA